GCAGGGCTGGGCCAAGTCACCAGCCTTGCTCTCTCCTCCGGAACCATCTGGGTCCAGTGGGCATTTCCTTCAGTCATGAATATAGGCAAACAAGCTTTTCTGAGGGAGTCTGGAGGCTTCACTAGATTTCCAGAGGGGTCATAACTCAGAACAGGATCAGAATCCCTCAACTAGACGGTCCTTGAGGTTCCTTCCAGCTCTGAGATTCTGAGATTCTCGAGCACGTCATTTAATCTCATACCTACCTTCCTTGTGCCTTCTTAGCACCATCTGCCACTCCGTGCCTGGAATGTGTCCAGTCCTCACCTTCACTTTTCTTTTTTAATTTTTGGTGAGGCAATAAGAGTTAAGTGGCTTGCCCGAGGTCACACAGCTAGTAAGTGTCAAATGTCTGGGGCCAGATTTGAACTCAAGTCTTCCTGACTCTAAGGCTGGAGCTCTATTTACTGTGCCACCTAGCTGCCCCTTCACCTTCACTTCTTAGAATCCCAACCTTCCTTCAGGGCCCAACTCAGGCACCATGAATGACCTGTGAGGTTTCCTGATTTTTCCCAGCTCCTAGCTTCTCCTACTCCCACAAACCCCCCAGGCAAAATTACTTTGTGTTTGCTTTATATGTATTTTGGGTAGAATGTTAGCTCCTTGAGGTAGTGTCACCTAGGACAGTGCTCATAATAACTATCTATTGGTCAAGCCTGTGATGGTAAAGTAGGATCTCTTGGGACAAACTTTTCCTCCATTCCCACTGGTTTCAACACGAATTAGGGGTGTTTAGCCTGAAGAAGAGATAATATGGGGGTCATAGGAGTGGTCTTCCAGTACTTGAAAGTCTGTCCTGTGCAAGACAATTAGACCTGCTCTGTTTGGCTCCAAGCAGGAGCAGAGAATGGATAAAAGTTACAAACAGGCCACTTTTAATAATCAGAGCTGTCTCAAAATGGAATGAGCTGCCTCAGTAGGGGGTGACTTCTGGCCCCCAAACCAACCCTAGGCCTTCAGGCAAAGGCTAGCTGACTAGTGGTCCAGTGGGTTGGGTCTTTTTTTTTTCAGGTACAGCTGTACTAGATGGCCACTCAGGGCCCTTCCAACTCTAAGAGTCTGTGAGATGCATCTGAGGGTAAAATTTGGAAAGATGCTCTCTGTATTCCAAGAAAAATATTATTGTAAGTTATCGTGCCTCTGGGGACTCCTACAGAGACAGAAACTTTTCTTTCTCCTGCCTGGAAACCAGCACTGGGTGATTGACTGCAGAGAGTAGAGAGTGGGGAGGATGTGATTAAATACAGTGGCCTGGTACAGTCACCATATTTCTCAAATCCTACCCGTGTTTAAATTGGAACTGAAACTCCTAAAAGCATGGTTGGTTGGGAGTGGGGCTAACCCTGAGCCACAGCCCTGAAAAAGAAGCCTCCTCCCCAGTCGTCAAGTTCCTACGCTTAGGGCCCAGGCCCGATCATGCCACCCCAGCCCCGGATGGGAACCTTCGGGGGCGCCCGATTCCTGTGGGATGAAATCCAAACTCCTCAGCCTGGCATGGAAGGCCTTCCCTGATTTCTCCTAACCCACCTTTCCAGGCCTTCCATCCCTTCACACAATCGCCTCGCTCTGGGCAAACCTCCCTGCAGCCCAGTGCAACATCTCCACCTTCATGCCTTTGCCCAGACTGCGTCCCCGCTCCTGACACAGAAGGTGCATGATAATCACCTAACATGATGCTGCTTTTTACTTTCTTTACCTCTGTCGCTCTCTCTGAGAAGTCCCAGCTTCCTTCGAGGCTCGGCTTTTGCCCCATTGTCTCTAGGAAGCCTCTCCTGATCCACCAGGGCTTAGGTAGCTCTTCCTACTCAGCCTGTCCTAGATCTAATTATCTCTTTAAATGGGGTGCCTCCTTCCCTCCAGCCTCCCCTCCTCCACCACTGCCCCAGAGGACCATGTAAGCTCCTTGAGCGCATGAATTGTTTTTGTTTTGTTTTGGTTTGTTTTGGGTGGAGAGCTGTTTTTGCATCCTTCCCCAGAGCTCCACTTAATAAATGTTGAATTAATTTGAAAAGCAGCTGCTAGACAACCATTGGGTAGGCATTCAGCAGAGGGGCTCCTGTTCAGGTGTGACTTGGACCAGATGGCCGCTGAGATCGCTTCCAACTCTGAGACTGTGTGATTTGGCAGCCAGGAATTGGGTTTTATTGGGAAGCTGTTTCGCCTGATGCTAATCAAAAACACTTTTACGGTGCCTTCCTCCAAACATCCCTTTGAGGATGTAGGTGAGAGGTAGACATATTACTGTGCCCATTTTACAGATGAGGAAGCTGAGGCCCACAGAGGTGGAAGAATGGGTCCCAAGGTTATGCAGCTAGCAAGCGTCAGGGCTGATGCTCCAGCTCAGGGCCTCGTGGTTCCAGGGCCAGTGTCCTCGCCAGTATATACCATGCTGCCTGCACGAGAAAATAGAAGTAACGAGAGCTTTATTTTGTATGTTTGAGATCTGAGCCAAACTAATCAGGAAATTCCCTGATCCAGATTGTGATTCCACTGGTGTGGGGAACCCCAAGAGGAAATGCCTTCTACCAAGGCAGCTCTGCCTCTGTGCAGCAATTTTTTTTTGTTGGTGGTGGTGAGGCAATAGGGGTTAAGTGACTTGCCCAGGGTCACACAGCTAGTGTCAAATGTGTGAGGCCGGATTTGAACTCAGGTCCTCCTGACTCCAAGGCCAGAGCTCTATCCATTGTGCCACCTAGCTGTCCCTGTGCCACAATTTTTAATTTAGCTCTTGGGGGGGTTGTCTCAAGGCACAGAGAGGTTGAATCGCTTACCTGGGGTCACACAGCAAGTACATTAGGGGAATGGGAGATTTAGAGCTGAAAGAAACTAGTCCCACAGGTGGTTCCAGCCACACTCAGGACTGGGAAATGGTTAACAAAATACGATTAATGTGGTTAATGAAAAATGATCAACAATACAATAAAACTAAGATAATTTTAATTTGTGGCTTTCTAAGCCAACAGGCAGCCGCAGGGATCGATTTCTATTTGAGTTTGACACCACTGATCTGGTCTAACCTCTTTATGTTACAGATGAGTAAACTGAGGTCCAAAGAGGAAAGTGACTTGATGAAGGTCACATAGGTATTAATTAAGTGACTCAACTGGGTTTTACACCCAGCTCCTCAGAGGCAAGACTTCACCCCAGGTCTTCCTGATGGCAGTGCACCATAATACTTCATGGTGAAGGGATGGAGATGAATGATTAAGAGTATTCTGCTCTCTTACTAAGCATGCAAGTTCTCAGCCCTTGTAACTAACTAAAACATTTCCTTCTTAATCAATTCTCATCAAGTTTATTTTTTTTAAATTGTGAGATTTTTAAATTTTTTAAAAATTATGAGATTCTTCACAAGATGATTCATGGAGAAATTTTATTTATCCACTAAAAACCAAGAAAAGTTAGGTTAGGGCTAATCACTCAGGCTTTTTAACAAGGTTAACATCTGGCATTGACGTGGAAATTTATTCAGCTATGCAGCAACCCCAGCTAGTCTTTCTCTAGAATACAAATTTGATGACGTCACCGGATCACACACATACATTCGGATTTCACTCAACTTCCCCTCCCCTTCCCTTGCCTGACATCTGCTGAATCGGGCACCAAGATAGTACTTTTCTCAATAAGAAGCCCAAATCTCTTGGGATATCTACTGTTTTTCTGTAATGTGACTTTGGAATCTTAAGTCCCTCAGTATTCAGATTAATATTTCAATGTTTTCCTGTCCTCCTCTGAAGCCCTAGAAAATTCTTTAGAAACTACAGGTCGTTATTTTTTGCTTGATTTTAAAAGATTTGTCAATGACTTAGTGGGAGGGGAGGGTGCGTGGTGGCTCTCTTCAGGGATGAATGAAAAAAGTATGAAGAAGGAGTAGATTTATTCTACTTGGCCCCAAAGGGCAGAGCTGGGAATAATTAGTACAGGTTGTGAAGGGACAAATTTAGGTGCAATATAAGGCAGATTATCTTAACTGTTAGAGCTGTTCCAAAGAGGAATGTTCAGCTGAGACAGGTGGTAGATTTCCCTTCATTTGATGTTTTTGAGCAAAAGTTGGTGACTATCTGATAGGGACATTATGTATGGGATGCAGATTGAATCAGGTGGCCAAAGAGTTCCTTCCCAGTAGAGATTGCATAGATTGGCCTAGTTAGTTCCTGATCAAAAGCTGAAAATCCCCTTTAGAATGTAAGCTCAGTGAGGGCAGGAATGGTTTCATTCTTTTTCTTTGGTTTCCTAGGATACTGCCTGGTATGTAGAAGGCACTTAATCGATGCTTGTTCATTGGTTAATTCCATGATGATTTTCTACTGAGGTATAGTCACAGTGAGAGGCTGGTGTTAAGGCACATCATTCTCTCTTTTTTTTTTTAAATTAATTTATTTTGATTTATCAACAATCACTTCCATATGCTTTTGAGCTTAAAATTTTTCTCCCCCTCCCTCGTCACCTCCCTCCCCAAGACGGCGCACAATCTGATATAGGCTATACACATACATTCCTCTTAAATATATTTTCACATTAGTGATGTTGTAAGTCAGAATTAGAACCAAATAAGAGGAACCACCAGAAAGAGGAAATAAAACTCAACAGAAGAGAAAAAAAATAGCAAATAGTACGTTTCAATCTGCATTCAACTTCCACGTTTCTTTCTTTGGATGTGGATAGCATTTTCCATCACAGGGGCTTTGGAGATGTCTTAGATCCTTGTATTGCTGGGAAGGGTTAAGTTTATGAATATTAGTCGTTGCACAACGTGGCTGTTACCGTAAACAATGTTCTCCTGGTTCTACTTACTTCACTCAGTCTCAGTCCATACAAGTCTTTCCAGGTTTTTCTGAAATCTGCCTGCTCATCATTTCTTATAGCACAACAGTATTTCATTATATTCATATACCACAACTTGCTCAGCCATTCCCCAATTGATAGGCATCCTCTCAATTTCCAATTCTTTGCCACCACAAAAAGAGCTGCTATAAATATTTTTGTACATGTGGGTCCTTTTCCCATTTGTATGATCTCTTTGGGATATAAAGGCACATCATTCTCATTAAACCTAGGATCATTTGAGCTCCTGAAATAGGCCCACTACTTTTCAGAGAGGAGAATCTGGGTATACCCGGAAAAGCTTTTGATCACCCCAAATCCTGGTAGAGAGAGAGAGAGAGAGAGAGAGACTTGGCATTAACTCTTTCGGGGCAGAGGAGAGACTTCTGTTTACCTGTCCTCATTTAGAATGCGTTTTCCCTCTGCCCCAGAGATCCCCCACTGGGAGTGTATTTGAAAGCAGGATTCTGCACCTTTGCCTGTGATCCGTGAATACTGAACTGTCTCCAGGCACCGGGTAGAACAAAACGTGTGCTTCCAGCTACGGTGAGGCCAATAAAGCCATCTGAGGCTTCTGCAGAGTGAAAACGTGGGATGATGGGGATGAACTCCCCATCCCAGAGCCCCCTCCCTTGGGCTGCGGGCTCCTTGGGACCTGTTTCTGAACAGCTGCCTCAGCTCAGGATGCCAGCTCCAAGCGCTCTGTGACAATGGGCCAGGATGGCACCACAAAGACTTTCCCTGTCCATCTATCGGGGCTGTCACCGGCTGCATCTGGGGCAGAATGCAGCCTGTCAGAGGTCCACCCACACCTCTGCTGAGGACCGTGGGGGGGCCTAACTGGAGCCTGGGGCTGCTCGCGCCCTCCCTGGTTCACAGGACAAGACCATAAACTGCCAGGGCTCCTTGATTCCAACCCTCCTCTCCTCTCCTCTCCTCTCCCTGTATCCCAGTACCATTTTTTTTTTGCCAGATCTTCATATGAAATAATTCACAAAATGAATTCTGGATCAGTAATTCTCCATTCTGTTTCAGATTCATGGTGATCATGAAGTCTAGTCCATCAGAAGGGTGGACACATACAGACAGGGAAGAGCTGGAAAGAGCTCCCAGATACGTTCACCTCTCTCCCTCCTCCCACGCCCCTCTTAGAATCCTTCCATTGATTCAAAGCACAGTTTGGGGGCCACCTACTAATGTGATGCTAGAAAGAAGGCAGGCTTTGGGGCCGGAGGCCCTGGGCTCATAATCCTGGCTTTGACATCTATAGGCAAGCTCCTTCACCTCTCTCTGTCTCAGTTTCCCTACCTGTAAAAGGAGGAGGGTGCACTAGCTAACCTCAGCACTCCTTCCAACTCAAGACCCAGGATTCCAGATCCCTGCCATCAGTGCTTCCCCTTCCAAGTTATTTTATGTATACTCCCGTACTTATTCATCTGGGCACCCGCCATACCCTCCTCCCAGCCTGATAAGCTCAGGGAGAGTGGAGATGGTTTTGTTTTTGTCTTTTTGTCTTTGCCTTGTATGGAGGTGGCCAAGGTGCTACCACAGATAGAATGCTGGACCCTGAGACAGGAAGGCACTTCTCTGCTGGCTATATGGCTGTGGGCATGTCACAGCTCCTCACAGCTTCAGGCTCCTCATCTGAAAAATGAGAAGAAAAATAAAAACCGACCAGTGTCTGACTTCCTGTGACCTATAAATGCTAGCTATTTTTAATTGTTATTATGAATAGTACCTTGCACAGTACTAGGCACATATGGGGGAAGAGAGGTTTTGGACTTATTATTTCATCACATAAAAAAGGGAACACCAGGTGACTCCTCTCTCAACTTGCCCATAACTTTTAGTCTTAGAGAATTGTCTGGGCCACTGAGAGGTGACGTGACTTACCCTGCGTCACCTACCTAGTGGGTGTCAGTGATGGGTCTCCAAGGTGAGTCCTTCGGCCACATGGCCAGGCTGTATTTCTCCTTGTATTCAGTAGGTAGTCAATAAATGTCTGTTGATTTGAATTGGTCAGAAACAGCCCAGAAAGAAGAGTGTGATCTAGAGAAGAGAATGCAAACACAGATGTCTACAATACACAACAGGGTTTGATTGTGTAACCACTCTCCCCCCCACCCAAAGTCATGCTCCGATGTCGTATTGCAGCATGGTTTCTTGAAGGAAAAGTAGGCCAATGGAGCGCAGTGAGACTCTTTGGAACTGAATGGCCAACAGAAGGCAAAGTAGAAGAATGGTTCAGGGGAAAGAATGCTAGATTTGGAGTCTGAGGATCTGGGTTCAAATCCTGGCTTTGCTGGGTACTGTGTGACCATGGCCCAGCTTTTTAGTCCTGCTAAGAGTTAGGGCAGATCCTACCATGCCAGAAAGGTTTCATCCATAAGAGACTGAGTCTTGCTGTCTGAGGACCAACATAGTTAAGTACAGACAGGCTCATCATCATAATAAATTGGCTGTGGCAACTCAGGAAGACAAGAAAAATGCAGACTAACCTTTAAGCCTTGTGTACTGCTTCTTCAGCAGCAGCAAAGGAAGGGAGATAAGAAGCATTTACATAGCACCTACTATATATCAGGCATTGTGTTAAGTGCCTTGCAAATACTGTCTCAGGATTGAGACAGTGAGGTAGGTGCTATTATTATCCCCATTTTTCAGTTGAAGAAACTGAGGCAGGCAGATGTTATGGGACTTGTCCAGGGTCACACAGCTAGTAAGGGTCTGAAGTTGGATCTGAACTCATGTCTTCTGACTCCAGGTCCTGTGTTCTGCCCACTGCACCACTCAGCTGCCCCAGAGAACTGAAATTGCCAAGATTCAGACAATTTGTGTATTGAAAAGCTGAACTACAGCAGTAGATGTTCGTAATGATAAAGCCGGAAGTCTAAAGAAATTACCAGTAAGTGGGGAGATGGCTTACAAGTTCTCCTTGGAGGGACAAAGAAAGGAGTTGATGGGGTTGGTTTCCCCATGTGTCTAAATGCAACAACAGTCCTCATTTCACGGGCCATCTTGACCATCTTATCTTGCAGGACTCGGCACAACGAGGTGACCGAAAAGCTGACCGCCACCACACCTGTACTTTGTGCACCAGCGAATACCGAAGAAGGTAAAGCAGGTTAGAAGGAGATGCACCGACTGAAGTCAGCGCGTACACGGATGCCCCAATGTAAACAAGGGCACAGGGAAGGGTGCTGAAAAACAGGGCTTGGGTTCGATATACAAGAGAGGCCAAGGGCTTGCAGACTAATGAGAAGCTTTACACCTTGGCATCAGGATAGTTTCTTCTAAAAGTAAATCAGAATTCATAGACATGGCAAGCACCCATTGTTGCCACCAAGAAAATGAAATTGACTCTATGTTAATGGGCAAGACTGAGGTGGCCCAGAGGGGTGGAGTGCCATCCTGGAATAATGAAGACCTGAGTTCAAATCCAGCCTCAGATATTTATTAGCTGTGTGACCCTGGGTAAGTCATTTCACCTTTATTTGCCTCAGGTTCCTCATCTGTCAGATGGGAAAGAAAATATTGTGAGCATCAAATGAGATGATAATTGTGAAATGCTTGGCACATGGGTAAGTGCTATATAAATATTAGTTGTGATTAGGGGGTCATATCAGATTCAGCTGCCTATATTTGGTCAGACCATTGGCTCATTAATGATCAAAATCAACCTCAAATTGAAAAAGAGGGTAAAGGTGGGCAGAAGGAAAAACAAAGAGCTGCCAACGATTTGGGGAACAGGAAAAAGCAGCACTGTTGACCTCGATGGTCACCATTTCCTGAAAAGATTTCATTGATGTGAAGCAGTTACCACAAGGAGAGAGCAAAAAGACACCAGAAACCACCTTAGCCAGCAACTACAGGTCCTCCTTGCCAAGCCGAAGGTGGCCAAGGATGACAGGGATTCAGAATACAAACTTGTCTGTAAACCACTCCGGAGGAGGAAGAATGGAGGAGGAGGCAGAAGATTACACGCAGCGTCACCTCGTAGAACAGTGAAAAGCAGCAGAGGTGAAAACAAGTCTGCAGAAAGTTTGGCATGAGACCCAATTGAGGCAGCTCAACCCCAGAGCCCGTAAATGAGTCTGGCGAGAGCACAAATGCATAGAAAATGGAGCGCATTCGCCTGTGTTTCTATGATAATCTATTTTCGCCATGAGTCAGTGGTGATGGTACTACAGGGTCTGGATTCTTATACTTCAGACCAAAATCATGACTGGACCAGACCAAGTTCACACTTGGGCAATGGCCATCTTGTTGACAACCTTGAAAATATTGAATGATCATTTAAAAAAGGTATCTCAGAGAGGAAGAGATGCTGAAAGAATAGGAAAATCATGGATGAAATTATTATCCAAATAAAGTGATTAGAGAATCAATCAGTCAACATTTATTAAGTGTCTACTACATGCCAGGACTATATAGTAGGCTTCAGGGATACAAGTATAAAGAATGAAACATTCCATATTGGAAAGGAGTTTACATTTCAATAGAGAATAATCAACAGAGAACATTGATAACTACCCATCAATATGGCAACTGTCTTATCTTTATGAAATCTTTATGAGACACACATATTGAGAAAATCCTTGATGAAAAGGTAGTAAGCATGGTGAGGTATGGTCCTCTTCTCCCTTCTACTGTCTCCTGGACAAAGCATGAATCCTCTGGGTCCTCCTTGGCCCACACCCATAGGTTTTGTTCTTTCAGTGACTCAAGTCAAGGCATCATAACTATGGTAGCGGTGAGGCTCACCAAACTTAAATCAGGAGTGATAGACTTTGTACACCTAAGCCAGACCTTGCCCTGGCCTGTTAAAGAGAGACAGAGAGTATCTGAAAGATTCATTGGCTGACAGAGACACAGAGAGAATCCGGACAATTTGGGGAACCTAGAGAGAAGCCTGACTGTGTCCATAGCTTTTATGGGGGACCACTGGTATCTAGGGGCCAAGACCAGATATAGATCAGAAAAGGAATTTCTGTGAGGGAAGGTGGAAAAAGAAATGGAGATTCCTGGTCACACTTGGATTTGAAGAGAGGCCTTCAGAGCATTTTATACATGAGGTTCAAAGGGGAAGAAGGAGTAATAGACTAGGAAGTCAGATTCGTGGAGGAGCAGCCCAGACTCATCCCCTTGCTGGTCCCAGGGGCAGGCAGGAATTGTGTGGACTGTCCAGGCCCCGGGGGCAGGCAGGAGAGGCTCAGTTACAAGTTCATTGCATGCTTTCTGTTGAACTCAATAAAATCTACCTTGTTTTCAACCCTTCGTTAGCTTGAGAACTTTCAGGGGGAGGGGAGGGAATTTTTAGGCAGGAAATATATGCCGGATTTTGATGTTCCCAGAGGAATCCTTGGATGGGGACATAAGCCAAAAAGATTTTCTGAGAGATCTCCAAGATCCTCCCCAGCTCTATAGTGGCTGAAATGGAGGTCTGACTGACATGTGAGTCGCAAAATAAAATACAGGAATTTTCAGATTTTCACTAATGAAACTGACCACATCATTAGAGTCAAACAGCCATCCCATGCAGTAGCATGCGATCCTACTGTATTTCTGGGTTGTTTGAAAAGCAAAACCCTTGACTCGCTTGACCAAAGAATAGTTTGAAAGGCTGTCTCAATCTTTCTCATCCAAGGGCATTGTTAAGATCATCTAAGACTCCTTGATAAATGTAACCAGGAGATAATGCTAGTGACCAAAGTGATTTCCCTAAAGCTCAGATCTGACCATGTCACTGTTCACCAAGCACTAGTGACTTCCCTTTCCTCTAGGCTCAAAAACAACCTCCTCTGAGGGTATTGAAAAGCCTTCTCAACCTTACTTAGCCTTAGCATACATGCCTCTCCTTTACATACTCTACCATCCAGATTTATTGACTTCTTCGCCACACCTCAAGCATGGCACTCCCCCTCCTTATCTTTGCTCAGGCTGTGCCTTATGCCTGGAATTCTCTCCCTCCTCACCTCCCCCTCTTAGAATCCCAAGAGCCACCTCCAGAATGAGGCCTACTCAGCTCCCGTCACATTTCTCCCCAGCTGCTAACTCCTTCTACTGAAATGATCTCATATCTACTTGTGTGTGTCTATATATATACATATATATATATATATATATATATATATATATATATATATGTATATATAGACACACACACATATATATACACACACATATATGTATATATATACACACACACATGTACATATACACACACACACACACACACACACACACACACACATATATATATATATACACATACCATCTCTCCTGATAAATATAAATTCCTCCAAGTCAGAGACTTGTAAAATTTTTTGGTTTTGAATCACTGTCCCAAACTCAACTTCTGACGTACAGTAGGCACTCAAGAAATGCTTCATTGATCAATTGATGAACTAACTATCCTACAGCCATTTCCATGAGTGACAGGCTCCAACTTTCTACTCTTCAAGTCACCCAAAGAGTTTCACTGATTCTGTTCAAAGGTCCATCAACTCTGTGGAGAGACTTTCTCTGTGGTCAAACTCTTCCCAATAATGAGAGGAATAGAGATTTCCTATGAAGCAAAGTCACCTCACATTCCTATCGGGTAGACAGAAACCATCTAATCGTGCAAAGGGGGAGAAAGGGACCTTCTCCTGAAACAGGCGAATTAAGCAGGTAGATTTTGACAGGAACTGCATAATTAAAGCTGTTGTCCCTTTAGAACCTTTGGTTCAGAAATCCACTTTGTCAGACAGTGCAAAGGAAGGTGGTTTCCTCCCCCAGCTCCCACTTGTATGATCTAAATAGTGGCAGAGGGGAAGAGGGAACTGTCTCCTTCTCTTGAAAGAGAACTCACCTCCTTTTACTAGCTTTCTGGACACTGACATTGTCATGTTAATTGGCCAGATTCAGACACCAGTGCCTGGCTTGAACCCCAGCCAGGAAGGGCTATTACTTTAGGCTGCCTATTTTAAGTTCTCAAGGCAGGGACCTTCTATTTTAAAAAAGCCAACTTTTTGGTCCTTAAGAATGAAAAGTACGACTATGTTTAATAGGAATGTATATGTAGAGCCTATATCAGATTGCACACCATCTTGGGGAGGGAGGGGGAGAAAATGTAAACTCAAAAGCTTATGGAAGTGAATATTGAAAACTAAAAATAAATTAATAAAATGAATTTTAAAAAAGAATTAAAAGTACAGAAGTGGATGAGGAATGGCTTTCACCAGGGTATCTTCCATATTCTCCCCCTTTCTTTGTATCAATTATCTCCACCACCCCCAATACTTACAATGCATTCCCTCCTCCCCATTGCCTCTGAAACCCTGAGTTTTCTTCAGATTTCCACTTGAACACGAGGTCTTTCCTGAGCCCCTACCCCAAATAGCGAGCATTTTCCCCAGCAAAATTGTCTTGTGTTGTCTATGTACTTTGTACGTGCTCATATGTGTACATGATGTTTCCCCTGATAGAATGGAAGCTTTATGAAGGGAGGGGTGGCTTCATTTTTCTCTTCATATCTCCAAAAACTAGCATGGTGCTAGTCACCTGACAGCTACTTAATAAATGTTTGTTTGGCTGACTGATCAGGGTCCCTTCCTCCTTTAACATTCGAAGCTCTAACGTTCTCCATCCTCAGGTGCCTTGTACCTCTAGGGTTCTTTGCTCTCTCTCCTAACATTCTATGTTCTAAGGTTCTTTTACATGTCTAAATACTAAGACCTTGGTAAGAGCATGGTAATGCTAAGACCATTGGGTTCCTGCTCTTTTTGGCAAAAAGAAAATATATCTATATTTGAACAATTTGTGTTACAAGAAAACAGGGTTGGCATTCTTAATTGCAGTCCCTAGATAGTCCAAAAATCTTAGATTAGTTCACATTTTTTACCTCTTCTCTGAGCTGCTAACAGTAAGTCGTATTTCTACAGCACATTGAAATGAGGAAGCATGCCAAGTATTTTCCCATCTTACTCTCCCTAAGTGAGCCTGGCTACATTTCCCCCTCAGGATTCTAGGGTACCCCTGAGCAATTGGGTTAGCTCTTCTCAGATGCTATTGGCTTAAGCCAATGTTCCTGCTCACTATCTGGGATGCCAGTAATGAGCATTGTTTAACTTCAGTCAAAGTGGCTTTTACAGAGAGATATTTACTTCAATTATATAGTAAGAAAAGGAGTGCAAACATTTCCTCCCCGCTGACACCTTGGCAGGGCATACTCCACTGCCTCAGTCTCTGGGGAGAGTGGATTCAAGAGTTAACACAGTTTCTAGGTTGCATTGATCTTACCCAGTTCATGGCCAAACAAGGCATTGCTTATTTGTGAGACCGTATTACAGGTACCACTGGGCTGGGTCAATTGGGGACTTCGATGCTGGGCTTGATGCACAACATGGACTCATATTCCTGAACGACTCCTGGACCCAAGCGGCTCACTCTTCTGACCTCTCGCAGCTCACAGGGTTGTAGCCTTTAACCTCCTTTATCTAAAATGAAAGCACAAGCATGAAGGCCAAGAAACGAGAGCTACTCTTATTCACAGACCATGACTGCCATGGATGGGAAAAACCAAGGTCTCCTTCCTTACAACATTGTCTCTGCTTTCATAGAAATGCCATTAGGATGGAAGAAGGAAAACCAAAGAGAGGAGGAAGAGGCCAGCTAGTACCTTTGGGATGCCCCCTGTTTGTAGCCACACAGTCATAGCCAATCAAAGAGACTCCAAGTCACCCTATGGTTAGCAGACCAGAAACATGGTCTACCCAAGAATGCCTCACGTCTTTTCCAGGTACTTCCATGATGTGGCTCCTCTGGAAGCCGGCTGCCCAGTCTCTTCAATGTGCAGAACGGGATCAACACTCGTAGACCCTGTCATCCAAAACATTGTCCTCCCAACAACCTTGTGATCTAGATAGCTGTGCAAGAATGGTTATCCCCATGTTATAGCTGACTCTAAATGGTTAAATGAATTCTCCAGGGCCCCAGGATTCTTAGTCTCAGAGACCACAGATTTAGAACCGAAATGGATCTTAAGGGCATCGAGTCCAAAGTCCTCATTTTCAAATAAAGAAACTGAGGCCCAGAGGGATTGAGTGACTTGTCCAGAGTCACACAGCTGGTAAGTATCTGAGTCAGGATTTGAACCTAGGTCTTCCTGACTCCAGTCCATGAAGTCTCTTTTTCGGAATCCAGACCAAGGTTCTTTCCAGTATGCCAGCTGCCAGTGTTTTCAGTGGAAAGAAGATTCAGTTGAGATCCAGTAAGATGCTTGTCCCAGCTCTACAACTAAAACTAGCTGCATTACCTTGGGTGAGATGCTTGACCTCTCTGGGCCTTGGCTTCTTCATCTGATCAGGAAGTAGGACTAGATAACTGCTCAGGTTCCTATCCCTCTCCTTCCCTTTCCCTTCCCTTCCCTTCCCTTCCCCCTTTCCCTTCCCCCTTTCCCACTCCTCTCTCTCTTGAAAGGCTCTAAGGAGCAGTGAAATGTCTAAAAGACAATTCGGAGTCAGAAGGAACAATAGAAGAAAGGGACTGGATAATCCTCACATGCATCATCACCCCCAATCCCACCCCCATATTTTCAGCTGGGCCAAGTGCCCACTTGGAGCAACTGCTATCAGTCTTGGGCAAATGGCCAGACAACCACTAGCCAACAGGGCTGCCCAAGCCTCCCTTTCCCACCCTCCCACATATACATTTTTTTTTTACTCAATTGGGCAAAAGCTAGAAATTCCCTTCACTCTAGTGATTTTTTCTCTCTGAAACACTCACTGCTGAAAAGTGATGCAAGCAAAGAGCTCCTGGTTCGAGTAAGATGGAGCAGATAGTCTGGAAAGAAGCCATTCCTGGAAGCCAGGGATGGCTAGTGGGTTCTTGGTGCCTGAAAGGAAGCCCAGGCTCCCAGTGCTGTCTGTGGTTAGGCAGAGAAAAGAAGACCCAGGGGCACTTGACTCGCTCCTCAGAGGGTCACGTAAAGGGGGATTCCATTGGTTTTGCTTGATTGCAGAAGGAAGAACTGGATGCAGACCATGGAAGCTACAGAGAGGCAGATTCCACCTTGACATGGGAAACGTTCTGGGACTGTCAGGACTGTTCAAAAGCAGAACGGATTGCGAAGGGTGATAATGAGCTCCCCATCCTTGGAGGTCTCCAGTCAGAGCCGGGATGATCCCTTGTCAGAAATGTCTCAGAGGGGAGTCCTGCCCAAAAAGGGGTTGGCGGGCTGGCCTCTGGGGTCCATACCTCTGTCCAAGACTCCAACATTCTAGGGCCAAAAGTGAGTCCCTTGCTGTGGGGACTTGGTTGGAATTGGTTCAGTCCAGTGTGGTTCCAGTGGGAATTGGGAATCCAGGACCCACTCCCGTTATGGGACAGTAAGGTGGCCACCAGCAAACTTCAATGAAGCTTTCTCCTCATAATTTAGCTTGCCACTAGAGAGCGGGTCAGTTCTAAAGCTCACTGAAAGGAGAAGGGGCTCAATGCCCTGGTTCTTCTTTTAGGGAAGTAACACAATACAAAAGCCATTCCTCCACTGGATAATCATTCAACACCTATGAACAAGTAGCTTTCAAAAGAGTCAAAATCTACCAACAACAACCATATGGAAAAAATGTTCTAAATCTCTAATAACAAATGCAAATTTAAACAACACTTAGATTTCACCAACTACTCACTAAATTGGCAAATGATGAAAGAGAGGAATAATATTGGAGGGACTTCAGAAAGTAGAGACTCTGACACATTGTTGGTGGAGCTGTGAATTGGCCTGACCATTCTTGAAAAGAAAGGTACCATAGCTAGGGACAGGGACCACTCCTGTGATTTATTGTTTTAGGAAGCTCCCTCTGCCAATGTACTCTGGCACTTTCTCTGCAGTTTACAGTCTGAGAGTCACCTAGAGCACCGAGGGATTAAATGACTTGCCCGGGGTCATAACGTGTCAGAAATAGGACTGGAACCCAGGCCCTCCCGCCTTCAAGGTCAACTATCAATCTACTCCACCATATTGCCTTTATGCAATATTCTTCTAGCACCTTTTGTGGCAGCAAATGTAACTATGAGTACGTGCAGAGTTGTTTGGCTAATGCAAGGCCCGCTTAGATTTGTAGCGGGTGTAAATGTTCCTTAATGGGTGTCAGTCTGCTAGTCACATGTGGAAGAGGAGCCTTTTTAATTAGATGCATAGCTAGACCTGAGGCATCCACCAACCACTGGTGTACCAGAACCAGCTGTTTCAGGGGACTTCTACCTGCCAAATGGCTTTCTGGTGAGAGGAGAAACAATGAGACACAGAGAGAGCCCTTGGGCCCTCCTGATCCAAGGCAAACATGCAGTCCATGACTGCTGAGTGATGGTAAAGCCTGCTCTCATCCCCCTCCTCTTGGTAAGGGAGATGAGGGCTGTAGGCATTGGAGTGGGGATAGTGTTGACTTTATAGTCAAAGACTCAGGTTCAAATTCCAGCATTGCCCCTGATTTACGCGTATCCTAGGACAAGTCGCAACATTTCTGAGCGCAAAGTTCTTCTGTAAAAGGAAGAGTTTGGACTAAATGATCCCACAGGTCACGTCATCTCTAAACCTATGATCCCTGTTAAAAATGCCCCAATGCCTTCAGATGGCGGCGCTGTCGAGGTCCTTTGGCTTTGACAGGGTTTTGGATTTTGTTTGTTTGTTTATTTTTCCTGTTACACAGGGCCCTTCACCGGGCAAAGTTTATCTGGAAATTACTATGTCGTATAAACCAAAGCCATCAGTGCAGCTTTCAATCAATATATCAGAGGGATATAGTGGAAAGGGCACTGGTTCTGGAATCAGAAACATCTGGGTTCAAACCCCAGCTCTATAGTTTATGTGACTTTGGTCAATATCCTCACCTCTCTGGGCCTCAGTTTCCTCACCTGTAAAATAGAGTGGGGTTAGATGATCTCTGTGTTTCCTCTCAGCTCTAAAGTCTATAACCCTGTGGAATAATCAAAATTTTAATTTCAATTCAACAAATTTTTCTTAAAGTGCCCTGTTCCAGGCACTGGAGTTACAAAGGTCAGAATGGACCAGTCCCTGAAAGAGTTTCAGATTATCCTGAGGGGCTACCACATGGACGCAGATGATTGAATGCAAAGTAGGAGCAGTCATTTCAGGAGGGAAGGAGGCCTAGCCAGGCAGGGGCAGGGGGCAGAAAGGGCCGTGCAGAGAAGGCAGAGCCTGAATTGGGCTTGGGAGGGAGCTGGGAATGGTTCGAAAGAACTGCCCTCCTTCCAAAGAAAAGACTTCAAATACCTGAGTGTGTGTAACCTTTGGCTGTATCAGCATGGAAGGAAACCACCTGCCAGGGCTCCGAGTTCTGACAAACAAGGCCCTGGAAGCCTCGGAGCTGGTTTGGAAGCCTTGCCAGCAGACGCCCTATTGCCCAACTGTTTGCGAGGACGTCAATTTGGCAGAGCCACGAGGTGAGTGTAGAAATGAGCTTCCACTGAGCTATTTGTTCTTGTGAAACCCTCTGGGGGGGAGGGAGAGAAAGAGAGAGAGAGAGTGAGACAGAGAGAGAGAGAGAGACAGAGAGACAGAGAGAGAGAGAGAGAGACAGAGAGAGAGAGACAGAGAGAGAGAGAAGAGCAGAGCAGAGCAGAGAAGAGATGGGAGAGGGGAGGAGGAGGGAGAGAAAAGAGAAGAAGAGGAGAGGGGAGGAAGGGGAAGGAGTGGGGGAGAGAAGGAGAGACAGATGATAGAGAGAAAGAAGACAGGATATGCATCTTTCTCAGAAGCCCAAGAAAACTGGGCACATCTGACTTCCTCCCCAGAGATGTTTACTGGGCGAACAGAAAAGGTGACAAACAGAAGTGGCTCAGATGCCAGTTCTGACTCACCCTGAGGCTATGGGACTGCTCCTTCCCAGACCAAGGGGCAATAGGGTGCTGAGCAGGCCTGAGCTCTTATTTACTCCAGAGCAGGGCTTAGGCTGAAAATGTGATCAGCAGTGACATATGGGGGGAAAGGGAGCTTTGGGGGCAAAGGGGAAGTTACAGAACATTAAAGGTTCAAGGGGCGTTCGAAGAAATAAAACTCCTCACTTCACCGATGAGTCAACTTAGACCCAGAAAGAGGAAGTCACATGAGTTTATAAGTGGCACAGGAAGTGCTTGAACCCAGACTTTTTACTTCAAATTCAGTGGGGGTTTTTTTCCATTACATCACACTTGCCGATTGAATGAGTGACAGCCTTCTGCCCTGCCGGCTCATTACTGGTGAGGGGACCTAAGATCAGTGTGTAAAGCTGAAAGGGATCTTACGGACCATCTAGTCTGTCATATTATAGATAAGGAACCAAGGCCCAGAGAGGTTATGATGTGCCCAAGAACACTCGAAGAGTGTGGACAGTGTCCCAGTTGAGACTCAAACTCAGGTCCTGTGATTTCCCATCCAGAGCTGTTTCCAGCAGCTGGGGAGAGGACAAATGGTATCAGCCAGGCCTAAAGGGAAAGGAAATGAATGTCCAACGTTACCAAAGGAACTCAAAGAGTAGACAGAATAGGTAGCTGCCTGATCCTTAAGGCTTGAGAGACCTGGGAGGTGATAGGGACTCTGGTGGGGGGGTGGGGAAGCATTAGATGTGGATTCAGGAGACTTGGCTTCAGATCTTGGCTCAATTCGACACTCTGAACCTCAGTTTCCTTTTCTGTAAAACAATGCTAACAAAACCAGCATGAGCTACCTCACTGGGTAGTTAAGAAGAAAAAAGCTTTGTAAAAATTAAAACTTAGAAAATTGGAGTTGTTATTTCTCCCTTTGACCTGCCAACTTTTCACCATGGAAGCTTCATTCCTGCTAAGGCATTGAACCCAGTTAAAATGCAAATCTTTCCAAGAAGTTCACATATTAACCATATTAACCCTTAATGGGTGAATGGGTTAATGACATCCTTTCTAGGTAAGTCACCTGGGATGAGGGTTAGATAGTTATCTTTCCAAAGAAGGCAGCAAGATAGTATCATGTGATGGAACAGAGATTGGGAGGTGAGGGACTTGGGTTTGAATCTTGGCGTTAATATTTGCTCCCAGTGTGACTCTGACCTCTTCCGCCTCCAGCATCTTCATTTACAAAACATGAGGTTTGGAAGAAATGACCTCTAAGATCTTTCCTAGCTCTAAATCATGGGGTTCCAAGGATCTCCCTTTTCTACACCCCCACATTTTAATCTAGGGAAAATCAGGGAAATCTCAATCCCTCAGCATCTACCGACATTGCCTGAATCTAACAAGAGCTCTTCACGTGTGCTGATTATAAGCATGATCATGATGGAGGTGGGGAGGAAAAGGGGCAGAAAGGAGGGCAACCCCTTGGGTAGTCAGAAGCCAGCACTGAGGGCACAGGGGACCTTTGAAAGGGAAATGAGAAGATATGAAAGAGATACATCATCTCTACTGGACTTGAAGTTCCATGACATCGAGTCAAGTCAAACCAACAGACATTCTATGTTCTGAGTTCTAAAGCTCCTTTCAAATATATTCTATGTTCCAAAGACCTTTCCTGGTCTACCAATTCTATACTCTACATTGTCTCATTCTGAGTTCTCAGGTCCCTCCCAGCCCTGACATTCCATGTTCTAAACCAACCCTCCCCACCTCCCCCATCCCCCAGCCACCTCCAGCTCTGAATCCCCTGATCCTCTCTGACTCCCAGGGAAGAGGCTGTTTTTCCTCCGAGCTCCATCTCTGACTCATGCATGGCCAAGGCCAAGACCTTTACCTCTCAATGCCTTGTTTTTACTATATGTAAAACAGAGAGGAGAACAATATAGGCCTCCTCCCTCCCTCCCAGGGATGTTCTGGGGATTAGGGGAGATGGTATCTTGGGAGTGATCAGGGCCACGCAGAGAGAGGCCCCCTGTCTACAGAAGGCCACGTTGTTCTCAGGGGTGCCCCAGCTGCCGCTGTTTGCAGTATGAAAGGTGGGTATTGTGAGGCACCAGGAGGAGCGTGCTGTTGCTATGTGTTGGCACAATAATACAGGAGTCAGGAAGGCAGGCCTGATTCCTCATTGTCTCTGCCTTCCCCCCTGCCCCCATTCTCCTTTTCTCTTGGCAGTCAGGAAAGAAAGAGAGGAAAGGAGGGAGGGAGGAAGAAAGAAAGAAAGGAAATGAAGGAAAGAAAAGAAAGATTATTTATTGTGCTCCCTTTCCCTAGCTTCATAAAATTGCAGAATTTAGAGCTGGGGAGGACCTTAGATACCGTCTACTCCAACTGCTACAAGTCAATCAACCGGCATTTATTAAACACCTACTGTGTGCGGGGCACTCTGCTAGGCACTGGGAATAAAAAGATAAAATGAGACCATCCTGGACTCAAGGAATTTACATTCAATTAGACTAAATCCTGAATACACATGTAAGTATGCAAGCAATCAACCAATATTTATTCATCACCTACTGTGTGCTGGGCACTCTGCTAGGCACTAAAGATAAAAAGACAATATGAGACTTTCCCTGGACTCAAGGAACTACCATTCTATCCAAGTAGACCCTGAATACAGATATAAATACATAATCGATCAATGAGTATTTATTAAGTACCTACTGTATGCCAGACACTGTGTTAGGCACTGGGGATACAAAAACAGAAGTGAAAGGAATTGATATTCTATTTACATCATATACATTTATAAAAAGATAGCTAATCAACCAGTTAATAAGACATTATTAAGGGCTCACTAGGTCCACTGGAGATTCTATGAAAAAAGGCATATAAATCAGAGCATCCAAGAAGACAAAGCCAGAGTAAAGGAAGGTCACTTTTGAGAGCATGGCTAGGGTGGGAGACAGAGGAAAGGCCTCCTGGAAGAGGCTGTGCTTGAGCTGAATCTTAAAGGAAGCCTAGCATTGGAAGAGTGGAAGGTGGTGGCATAGGGAACATGAAGTAATACATGTGAGGAGCAGTATCAGGCTTAGATGGCTGGATCACGGTGGATGTGGAGGAAGGGAAAATGTCAGAGGCCTGGAAAGGTAGGAAGGGGCCAGATGACTGGGGCAGGGAAGGGGAGGCATTAACAGGAAGCTCAGACCAGAAAACAAAGGAGGACTAGAGAAGTGCCCACTGGGTAGGTAGTGGAAGAACCAAGATTCCCCCTAACTCTTGGTATCTCTCCATTTTGACATTTGGGAAAAATCTAGCGTGTATCTTCTCATTACAGAAACAGAGCAATAGGGTTCTTAAGAAAAGCCCTGGGTGTGGAGTCAGAAGATCTGAGTTCAAGTCTCAGTTGTGAGAGGCTGGTGGGCACATCACACAATAAAGGCGGGTACTATAGGCTGGTAAATACTTGTGCTTAATGAATGAATGAGCATTTATTAAGCATTTACATCAGGCTAAGCCCTGTGGGAAGAGCCTGGAGCTTGCATTCCGATGTGGAAAGATAACACATATGGGAGGTTTCAGCTGCAAGTCAGATGGAAAGGTCCCATGGTCCTTAGGGTTCGTGGGCAAAGTAGATGGGAATGGTTCTTCTTCGAAGCTTGACACCATTTCTACTCATAAAACCACATTATTTTTTAAGGTTGAACCAAGTGATGGTATCAAGGACTTTGAAGGCAAGTATTCTTTGTTTTAAGTCCTCGGTTGCTGCTGTTACTGGGTTTGGGGAGAGGAGAGGAAGGGAGCTCAGCACCTTCAGAGACAATTGGCAGATTGACGTCCACAAGGCAGCCCTTCTGAAATCAAGGGCTGGTGGTCCGGCGGTACTGACGTTCCCTGGACTCTTACCCTTACCTGCCCGTCAATGGCAGTTGGTCAGCAGTTGGTGGTGTTGGTTGGTGGTCTGCAGAGAGGGGCGATGACAGGCCCCTTCACCACAATTATTGCTCCTATTTATAATAGCTGTGGGGCCTTATCCACTGCGCTGCTTACAAGGCTGAGCCACCCTTTGTGTGGTGGAGGAAAGAGCAGTGTCCTCACTGGCTTGGAGTCTCAATTTACTTACTAGCTGTGTAATCTTGGACAAATCACTTTCCCTATCTGTGCCTCAATTTTCTCTTTTGCAAAATGAAGGGGGTGGACCAAATGATTTCTAAAGTGATTTCCAACTCTACATCTATGATTTCTGTTATAGCTGTTCATCTTCATCTTTTCTTCCCAAATAACCTGAGTTCTAGACTACATGCTCCATAGGGGCATGGTGGGGCCATAGACAATAATAGGAAAATTCAGAAGAGGGAAAGGACAATGAGTTCAGTTTTGGACAAGTTAAGTTTAAGATGCCTATGAAATAGACAGTCCGTGATGTCCAGTGGGCAGTTGGAGATAAAAGATAAAGGTGAGCAGAAAAGTTAGAGCTGGATAGGAAGATTTGAGAATCATCATCATTGAGATGATAACTGAATCCATGGAAGATAATGAAATTACCAATGAAATAATATAAAGGGAGAAGAGAAGAGGACCAGGGACAGAGCCTTGGGGGCACCTATGGTTGGTGAGTGCAACCTAG